AGTTAAAAAGGGAAAAGAAAATACAGGAGACCTGAGTGAGGGGCTACATAGAGGATGGGGATTGGGGTGGGAACGTAACAAAGTTACATATAGAAGGTGCAGCTAACTGAAGCCCAGGGGCAGGAGGGTGGGGGGAAAACATGATGCTTATATGGTGAGGCATGTATCAGGGACCTCACACTGATGCTGCATTGGGTTTGGGAGATGGTTCATAAAAACACGCAGTTACAGATAGCAGCATGTGGGATGCAATTGTGGGGGTAGGGAAGGGTCTGGGATGAACGAAGTCCTCAGAGTTTGCTAGATGTAGCAGTGGGGTGAGAGGGGGGGCAGTCAAGTGATCCCCCTGTGTCGCTTTCGGTTGTTGGAAGTCGCAGTGAGCCACTATACTGAATACATTTTGATTTCCTCTTCAGTCCCACAGCTCAGCTGTCTGTCTTTCCTATTTCCAGTGATCCTTGTTTCTTAACCAGCCTTAAATGTTTGGGAAACATGATCAATTGGGTCCCAAACAGTTCACCGGTAATACTTCTGTTACTCCCTCTCTGCCTGACGAGTTTGAGTAAGTGTGGCCCTGCCCTCCATGAGGGGGAGCAGGGCCAGGTTGCCTTATGCTTCATCTGTATACAAATTTTGGAGGATCTCGGGACTCTTGTGACAAAAACACCCAGTTCCAGTCATGAGTGGGGGGGGTAGGAGTGCTGATTAGCACATGGATCCTTTGTGGAGTGTGTCTGGAGTACTGTGCAGTGCTGAACTTCAAGTCACCATGACTTGAAATGCTGTTGACTCTGCTTGGGCCCAGCCCAGTGAACTCTGAGGTAAATCATGAACTTATTATATCATGCATAGTTTGTAGTATGGGTCAATAGGTGCAAAAGTGCTGCTTAAAAACGTGTTTATGGAGTACTTGTGCTAAAATTTGCAGCAGTTTCAAAATAAGTTAATGCATCAGTTCTGGATAAACTTAAGTCAGTCCTTGGGTACTTGTAGTAATTTGCCTATATGGTTAATTGTGTTTATTCAGGGTCATTGTTTCCAAATTTGCTCCTCACTTCTGCATGGTCTGGGAGAGCAGGGTCTGACAGTAAAGGTGGGGAGAGGGAGAAGGACTGCAAGGGAAAAAAAGTTGGGAGGGTAAAGGGGAATGGGGCTACCTAACTCCCCAGATCTATTTTTCCTGCTGTAACGGGATGGGGAGCAAATTCAAGGCAAACCTCCAACGATTTGATTCTATACCTGTAGAATTATAACAAATTTATAAATTATCCCTATATAGAATCTAATAATTGGCGGGTCATCTTATTCAGGGGTGTCTTATTTGAGTAAATACAGTAGCTTCTATTTCATATGTGCTTTTTTTGTGAGCTTACACAGGCTTTGCAGTAGTAGGATGCATACTCAGTTATCACATTACAGTATGATGCTGATGAGATACTCTGATATGAAGGGAGACGAGTGACTGTGCAGGATGTATACTAAAAAGGAAGCTGGTTATATCTTTACCACATGTACCTTGCTTTTTTTCCCACATTGACTTTCCAAAGTTCACAGTAGTACATACAGGTCACTGTCTGAAGGTGCAATTGTTTTTGCTGTTTTAAGATTATTATTTGCAGTTTTTCTGAGACTGTTTTACAGACTATAAAAATTAAAAATCTGAGAGGTGGCTGTAGCTCAGTTTCATTAATCTGTGGATTAACATTCAGTTAGCTTGTGCAAAGTGGGAAGAGATTTATGCTGCCTTCCCACAAATACCTGACCTTGGCTTCATTTGAGAAGGAAATTTTTAGTAGAAGTGTTTTAAGGCTTGGGAAGCAATTCCCTCTTTTATAAATAATAAAAAATATGATTAAGTAACATACGTAATTAGGAGTATGTTATTCCCGATATTAATTTTACTACTCCTTGGTACGTTATCTGTGTGCTTTGAAATGAATCTAGAATTTTTTTGTTAATGTAGAAGAACAAATGTACTTCAGTCAATGCAGAGCGGAAGTAGGTGGTTTGTGTACAATAACATGAACAGAGTAAGGTTTTTTTTTTTTAATTCCTGTCTAAATATGGCTCATTCATTCCTCAGATATTTCTAGTTTAGTCTTGTCCTGACTATCTTTGCTTTTTGTAAACAAATAGTAGAGGTGGTCAACAAGAAGTTGTCTTGGGTATCAGAGTGAAGCTCTTATATTTTCAACCAGTAATGTAAGTGAGAGGACGGCAGCCACAGGTGTTGCCTTCAGAGGAGTGAGGGGCAGGGTGCAGTGTGTACAAATCCCCCTGCCGCAGCTGGCGGCTGGCCCCTTTGCCCCATGCAGAGCCACTGCCCCATAAGTAAGTATATGTGCTATTCCCATTTTATGACTGGAAATGAGTCGGATTAAAGGGGATTCTGTGGAAAGTTTATAATCCAGTGTGGTTGCTTCCTCTTCCTTTGTTCTCAGTCCCATGGGGTTTTGGGAGTTGCAGGCCAAAGTGCAGGCAGCACAGTTCTGTAGGACTGCTCCCCCTCTCTTCGCACATTCCCTCATCTGTCATATTTCTTACGCCCCCTTTCTGTAAATTTCAATTATTAACAAAGGAAATATTTTTTCATAGGTCTGAATGTAAAGTGAAATCAACATTTATCAAAGTTTACCAATAAAAATTGAATCCTGCCAAGCCTAAATAGAACCTGTAACTTTTGTTTACGCACACATGCTAACAAGAATTTAAGAAACAAAACATCCCTTTGTGAACCTTGCTTTTGGTCCTAACTGGCCAGAATGGTTGGTTTGTTTTGCTTTGTTTTTTAATTAATGTTTTTGACTAAATTATAGGTTGTCTGTTCAGCCTTTCTAAATGGAAAAAAAAGATTTTTTTCAATGACACTTGATTTGTTGTTGTTAGTAGGAAAATGGAAAGCTACCTGAAGTTCTAAGCATTTAAAAGATGTTGAAGTATAATTTTAATATATTCTGCAATATGTTTTTCCAGACTTGAACAAAATACTGACACTTTTTTCTCTATCAGTGTATCCAAAAAGAAATCTGGGCTCTGGAAAAATCAAAATACATACTGTGTTTTGGTTGTCTGATACTGTAGGCTGCCTCTAGAATTCAATGCATCTGCCTGAGAGAACACATCAGTCTCTGCGCCATTTACCTTGGACAGGATCTGTACAGGTTTCCCTCACTTTCTGTGGGGTCTCTATGAGCAGACTCACTCTTGTGACCCTTTTTAAATTTGTTATGTGAGAGGTAAATTCACTCTTACGCGATCGATGTAGTGGAAGCTCCCACAGTCAGCTGCTTTGTGCAGTGCATTGTGGGAGTGAGGTGCACCAGAATATAGTCTCCTGTGTGGATCTGTGCTTCTTGCTCATTGACTATGACACGTGTTTCTGTAGTTGCCATCTCCATTATGATAATACCCTGTGCTTGTGTGTACTGTCTGCTGTTGGCGAGTACGAAAATTGTCTTCTAAAAGTGGTAGAAATGGATTTGGGGGTCAGTACAATCAAGTCTTGGAACGTATCCCTATTTGTTACATCGTAAAGTGGGTTTCCTTTATGCAAATTTGAGTTATGCATGGTTTTCCAGGAACGCATGTACAGTAGGGCTGTGCGAAGCTTAGGTAGCTGATTCAGTTCGGAGGAGATTCTGCCCAATTTAGGGACCGAATCTCCAAATCGAATTGGAAGACTAGTTAAAAGCTCCAAGTCTATTCGGAAAAGCTTTGGCCACTTCAGAGATTTGACCATAGACTAAGCAGGCAACTGACACAGCTGCCTCCAGCTTGTAAGTCTGGGGTTGGGGGAGGGGAGGGATTGGGGCTGGGAGAAGTTGCCCAGCCAGGGCAAGAGGGAGCATTACTTGGATGGGGCATGGTAGCACTGGGAGCAGGGGCTCTACCCTGCTGCCTCTTGCCCAGCTGGGGTAGGACAGGGGGGGGGAATCTGCCACGAGTGCCCAGAGGCCCCAGTTGTCATTGCTGCAGCCAGTGAGTGCGGGCAGGGCCTTCTTTTTTTTTTTCTTTTAAGTGCAAGGCAGCCATGGGGGCGGCTTCTCCCCCAGCTGATCCGAGTCACTGAATCTCTCTGAATCAGTGCCGAATCTTCCGAAGCAGATTCGGCCAAATTGATTCAGGACAGTGATCTCAGTCTCCAAATTGAATCACTGTTCTCCGAATCAGCCAAATCCAAATCAAAATTGAATACTTCCCTGTTCGCACAGGCCTACTGTATAGCAAAAAGTGAGGGAAACCTGTATTTTAGTAAGGGTGGTTAGTGGGTATTGTTTTCAGAAATTGGCACCAAGGCTACGGAACTTGCCATTTCAGAGCTAATTACTGTAAGCATTTTCATGTTCATCTCCCTTGACTGGGCTTCCTAACTATTTAATTCCAAGAGATTAAAAAAGAAAAAAGGAAAGGCTGTTTTTCCAACAGGGGGTAAGAAGGAAGAATTCTTTCTTGGTTTTAATTGTAACGACATGGGAACAACTAACACAGTGGGAGGGAATGCAATGAATATCCCAGTTGATCTAATGGTTGATGCAATACAGCTAAGTTGGTTGGCAAATTTAAAAATGTATGTCACTCATACATGGCAACTGTTACAGGATGTGCCAGTGCCAGGATTCTCCTCCATTTACACTCTTGCTTGCTGGATTGATCAGGCTTAATACTCCTTATAACTTAATATTGTTAATTCTCTTCCAGCTCTGCCTATGATAATGTCAACAAAGTTCGAGTAGCTATAAAGAAAATCAGCCCTTTTGAACACCAGACGTATTGCCAGAGAACTCTGAGAGAAATCAAAATTCTGCTGCGTTTCAGGCATGAAAATATTATTGGAATCAATGACATTATCAGAGCTCCAACTATTGAGCAAATGAAAGATGTGTATCCTTTTGAAGGTTTGATTGTTGCACATGATGTGCTTTCTTCTTAATTTTAATTTTCTACTTCTGTGTATGTTGAGGTAAAGGTTACTGTGTTGCAGCCAAGTGAAAGGAAGGTTTGGTGATGCTCACTTAAATTTTACAAGACATTGCAAACAAAACTAATGTAAGTAACTACAATACATTTCCTGTTCTGAAGCAGTCCAGAAATAACGCCCAAACTTCAGAGCTTCTTGCCAGTGGACTGCTGCTTTGGCTTCTGAGTCTACAGCATTAATATTTGACATTTTTGAAACATTTTGAACAAGTAAAATACCCAATGTGGTGTTCCATGTGTTATGCAATAGTAACAGCTCTTCATGTAGCATGGTTTAAAAGTTGATGTCCATCTTGAGTTTTACTTGAACAAGCCAGCAAAATAGGGTTTTTAGGTTTACTCTATGGAACAAAAGATTCTCCTGTTGTCTAGATCAGGGATCAGTGATTTTTGGCTTGAGAAATGATTGGATCCACCCTGCCCTCATTGCACATGGGATTGGCAGTACTCACCTTGGCCTGGTGTGTCCCACATCTCGGTTTAGCTCTGTGCTCCTGATTTTCCCTCCCACATCCATCTACATCTCTCTCTTGTTTTATTGCCCCCTGTAGCAGGCACTGCTTTTGGCCTTACTGCTGAATTTGCCTCTCTATGCTGCAGCTGGGGACTGGAATGGGCAGCATGTGGTAGAGGTGGTGGAGGCAGTGGCATGTGACAGTAGGTGGTATGGGCACTGTGAAGGGGATTGGTGACCTGCTGTTTGTAAAAGGTTGCCAACTCCTGGTTTAGATAGTTTTAGGGAAAAGCAACTAGATAAAACCTAATGGCTCTTAAAGTCACAGCTTTACTGCTTTCAGGGGCAAATTGGTGGGATCCTCTGGGTTGCTTTTTGCTTTTTGAAAAGTCTCTGCAAAAAAGTACCTGTTGTATATGCAAAACTCGCCATCTGCAGGCAGGTAGGCCTGAATAAGATGTGAATAAGGGATTTGTTTTGGTAGTTCAGTTGTGCTTTTCACAGGAAAACTTGGCTTAATGTGTATGTTTACAGAAGAAGCCTAATCTAGAGGCCTGACACAGTGGATCCAAAATGCTTTCTTTTATTCAATAAATGATACAGAAGTAGGTGTTTTGAGTATAGCTAAGACTCCATGTGGATCTGATGGTTCTTGGGGTTTATTTGACTTACGAGGGAAAACCAATTACATGAGGTAATACTGTTTTGATTTGATTGAGTCAGGACACACAGGGCTGGTTCTCCTCATTGAGTTTATGTAGTTTCATCTCCAAATCTAAAATTCCTCTGTACCAGATAGAAACCTCAAGAAGGTAAGGGGAGGTGAGCTATCAGTTCCTTTTAAAATTGAGATGGTGGAAGGGGGAATTTTCCTGGAAACAAGGAATGTATAGATGCAAAAAGTGTAGTTTGTGTTTTATCCAGAATGACAAATGTAAAGAAGAGGGCAACTCTAGCTCTGGACTTGGATCGTTGGAGAAATCCTGGTTAGAAATCAGACTGCTATAAGCTTGATTTCCTTCATATCTACTTACCATTGGAAGCAAGCATCATCTTTTCAATAGTTTATTTCCCATTATGCTAAGGAGTCTTCATTTCTTGGCAAGGAAGATGCAGATTTGATCACATTGTAAGCCAAATAAAACAAGCTTCATAGGAAGAAATAGAAGGCTTTCTTGTAATAACCTGAAAGAATTGTATTCAGTTAATCTTGTAAAGGCCTTTGATCACTGAATAAGGTAATCTGAACTGAAACTTCTGAGATCATAATCATAAAACAATCTGGATGCTTTGAAGAAATGGAGCTTACAAGAAATGGAAACAAATGTTGGGCATTGGCATTATTTTAAAATTTAGACAATGTGTAGTTCATGGTACAGTGTTTGGATATCTATAATGAAGCTAAGCGTTTGTTTTGCTGCCTTACATCTGATGGCTTACAGATACATCGTGCAAGATCTCATGGAGACGGATCTTTACAAGCTTTTAAAGACTCAGCACCTCAGCAATGACCACATTTGTTATTTTCTTTACCAGATTCTGAGAGGGTTAAAATATATCCATTCAGCCAATGTGCTGCATCGTGACCTCAAACCTTCCAACTTGCTGCTTAACACCACTTGTGATCTCAAGGTTGGTTGAAGACTTTTTACGAATTCTACTCCTTTGCACTTTGTGCTATTGTGGAATGCTGTATTTTCCTGGTAGGATTGCCAAAACTGTCTTCCATTTTGTTTAAAAATGATTTAGCTTGGAATAGCTAAGAACTCCATATACTGTTAAGTGATATCTCTGTGTTTAATCCATCACAATTTCAAAACCACAGGGGAGTTTTAATATAAACTATTTTCTACTTCAGGCTGGTCACTTGGAAACAACAGCTGTTTATTGTAAACTAATACTAGACTTAATTTCCACATGCTAGGTTGTAAAATATTGTCTGTGAATCCCATAGGCTTTCCCTTTTTAATGCATTGATTTTACTTAAAGAGTTGGATCAAAGATTTATTTTATTTCATCTTTAGAATGTGTAATCGCAATAGTTTTTGTGGCATTTACACACTGATTCATTTTTTTTCTGGACAGAAAGTATTTGCGACAGCCACTTTTCATTGAAATAGTATAGGACAGGGTGGCCAATATATTGCATAAGTGGCATGGGCAGTTTCTGTGTGGCATGTGGCAGATCAGGGAGGGGACAGACAGCACAGCAGAGGTAGGACAGGAAGTAGAGTAGGAGATCAGGCAGGGATCATAGAATAGGGAGCAGAAACCAAAGTAGCAGCTTGGGCAGAGGAAGAATTTTAGTGTGGCTCTTGAGGAAGATATTGGGCTGATGTGTGGCATGGCTGCCAAAAAGGTTGGCCTGCACTGCTGTAGGGTAATATAGTATCACAAGTAGTGTTGATGCAAGATTGAAGCTGTGTGGAGGCTAATTCTGTTTTTTCTGTGCTAATTTCCTAAGAAGCTATTTCATACTGAAACTTCCTGAGAAGTTGATTTCTGGTTACCATAGTACTTAATTACAGTTCCTGCTCTTAATCATCCAGTATCTTACAGTGCACAAGAAGCAAGTGATAGAGGTATATTCACCATGTGTCTAGTGCTTTCCTATTCTTGCTGTGGAGTTGCAGCTGTTTTGGTTAAAGCAGACTCAATTAAAGGCATAATCTCTTTCAAGAGAAAAGGACGTCCTTCTTTTGGGAAAGCTAGTAGAATTTCAGAAGAATCTGTTTATATGTGCTTATGTGTATTCTGAAAGAGCACAAGGTGCCATTTTGGCGTGGACGAAGGAAGGTTGCCTAAAGAAATTTTGAGAGAGTTGAGGCAAAATTGCAGAATATGACTCTTAGAAGCACTATTTGTTTCCTTCTCTCACTCTCTAGCATTTCCATAGTATGCCTTGTGTGCTCTTTATGCATACAGTTGCAGCTCGACCTGGCTTTGCAATGTCTGTATAGATCAGGCACTTCAGTGGGGTTTTTTTGGTGCTTTTATATAAAACTGTGTCAATTAGCTGTTAGATAGAAGTGCCAAAACCCCACTAAAGTGCCCAACCTGTACAGACACTGGGAGAGCTGGGTCCAACTAATGCGCTGCCTCCTTCTGGGCATGTGCTAGGCTTGATGTGACAGTGTAGGGAGTTTAAAGTAAAGTACCTTTTGGGTTGCGGGGGGTGTAGTGTCTGCAAGCAGCCATAGAGCAGTAAGGCTGGAAGGGCCCTTTGGAGGTATATTCCAACTCCTTGCTCAAGGTAGGATTATCCCTATCTAAACTATTCTATATAAATCCTTGTCTAACCTACTAAAACTGCACAATCAACCTTGTGGCACAGCTACAAGGCATATTGCCCAAAGATACTAAAAGCATCCTAACCTGCCCAACAGATACAGCAGGAGGATGAGAACTGTCCAAGTCCTGTCACTGCAAGTGTTGTTAAAATGCACTTTGGAAATCCAAGGAAGAGAGCAGTATCCCCTACCCCTGAGGAAGGCAAAACTTCCCACAGTCCTACCAGTTTGACCATGGTGTAGAATTCCTTCCCATCCCAAAATGTAGAGATCAGTCTAGCCCTGAGTGGAAGAGCAAGACCCTCTAACCAGGACTTTCTGGGTTTTACCATCACAAACTCCCCCAAGACCATTTTAGGCTGGGCATAAGGAAAAACTTTACTGTCTGAGCCCTCAAGGCCTGGAATAGACTCCCTCTAGAGGTGATGCAAGCACCTACTCTGGACTTTTAAAAAATGTTTGGATGCTTATCTTGCTGGGATGCTTTGACTCTAGCTGACTTCTTCCCCCGGGGGCAGAAGGGTGGAGTCTGATCTTCCGAGGTCCCTTTCAGCTCTAGTGTCTATGAAATTTAGTCCCATGAGGAGCCACTGGCACATACCTGTGAGAATCCCAACCTTGGCTGCAGCCAGCACTCAACAGTTCTGAAAAAGGGATTGCTTTGTACTGCCTCACACTTAAACTGTGACACCAGGAAGGAAAGCAGCTATTAGCAGTATTGTACGTTCAGACTGGAGCACAAGAAACGTGATCTTGGGCATGAGTGTTGGAACTTGGCTCCTGATGCTGGCCTGGTCCATCTTTGTCTGCATATATGTATAAATATAGTCAATGTTAGAGGCAAATATAAAATGAAGCTCACTATGCAACAGAACAGACTTGCATCCAAAGTCGCATCTTTCCAGAGGAAGAGTTTCTTTTACGGCTGGTGTTGGCAACCAGTGGCTTCTAGGCTGGATCTGGTACATGGAGGTCTGATCAGTTGTTGGGGGATTGGTGATATGAAGTTGTGCTGTGCTGCTTGGCCCCTCCACAATGTTACTCTCTACTTGTATGTAGTAATGAAAAGAAACAGATTAGTTTTAGTGTTTTTTGTTTTTTTTTTTCTTTTGGGACTAGAGCTCTAAGGTTATCATTAGCCTTCCAACTGTTATCATTAGTCGTCTTACCTGCTGCCCACAACTTTCATCTCCTGCAAAAAAGTTAAATACAGCTGTAAGCACTATGAAAAATGAAAGTTACTGCTGCGAATTATGTGGAGGGTACTTCTGGGTGAAATGCAGATGCTAGAGCAGTTAAGATTTCTTCAGGTAATGATAACAAAGTAACTTCAGTGAGGTCATAAATGTGATTCAACTCATGCCAGATACGTTCATAGATACTTCACCTGTCCATTTTCCCTTGGAGGAAGGAAGAAGCATGGTTTTAGGTAAATCCCCAAGTCAAGCCAAGCAATGTACTCAAGCCCTGTCTTGGCCCTAATTTATCTTGTTAAAATATGGGAAGAGAACTTTGAAAAGCAACATAATTCAAAATGCTGGAAGAACTTGGTGTTCGAGAGCTGTTTGATGATATTGGATGGACTTAACTGAGCTTTTTTCTCTGTTGAAAATATCTTTGCTTACAGTTTGTTCAAGGATTTTACTAATTACTCTTGGTTAGTGAAAGACATTGAGTTGCTCCAGCCATTGTTTCCTATTACTAGAAATTCAACTTTTTTGTGAAAGATTCCTTTCCACTTTCATTGCTAGGAGCTAGAGGGCTGCCTTCTAGTGTGCTGTGAGGCATTTTTCTAACTGGCTTGTAAATAATATGTGCATGTTCCTCTTACTCTTTTGTTTGCTTTAGAACTTCACCAGGTTTTGAAACGCAACTGACATAATCCTAAAAAAAAAAAGTGATTTAAAGCAAGACATTTACAAAGCAAAGTTTTTAAGAATCGGCCTATAGCAGTAGCTGTAAAGCCGAATGAAGGCTAGATGAAATATCAGGATGTCGACCATTCCTTCATTTAATGTCAGCGGCTGCTGGTCAGTTCCCCTTGACTGTGAAGGACTTGCTGCCACACCCAGTCTCTTTTGGGGCAAAGCTTGGTTGTGTGCATTTCTTTTTACTTTTGACCATGAAACTTGAGCAGAGCATCACACTGAAGAGTTCTGCCTGTCTTGGTGTGCCAGGCTGTAAGGCCTTTTCCCTCGTATGAAGACCCCAGATCAACGTGTGCTGGGAGGAGTCTACCAGCTGAACCAATGGTAGCTGACCCCTGCCATTCAGCATCCTGATATGCAGTTGATTCTTCTAATCTTCCCCCAGGCCTTGCTTGCCTGTATCTCTACTTGCTCTTTTTCCTTCAGGACCTCCTAACTGACTTCCAAAGCAGAAAGGTCTACCCAGGGCTTTGCAGTCAAGAAGAGGTGATCTGAAATCCTTTTCTCCTCGTGCCATATTCATGAAAGTAATTAGTTCGGCAGCATGTAAGGGTCTTGCTATCACCTCAAAGATTGTACTTTTTTTCTAAAGAGCCAATGCATTTGTACTTCCCACAGACACGCATCCTTCTCTGCTGCTTGGTGTGCTTTGACCCAGGCCTGCATTTGCTTGTCCTTCTTTCTTTCTGAGCTCTCAGCTCACTAACTTCCTCTTTTATCCTGTGCTTCATTCTGTCCACTGAGTCCTGGAGATGTGCCAACTCTTATTTTTGATTGAGTTTCCTTTCCTCACTCACAGAAACTCTCTCCCCTTTTCTTTCTTCTAGCAGAACATAGCACTTTCCTGATTTAAGATTCTGATGCTATGGACAGTCTCTTAGTCTTTGACTTTATTCTGGCCTTTCTAGGATTGCTGCAAACTCTCTTCATTGCCTCTCTACCTGGGGAAAAATCTCCCTTGTTTGCAGGTTTCTCCATAACTGCTTCTTAGCTTTTCTCACTACCGTTGTCCTATGTCAGGGGTTTTCAACCTTTATTAAGCAGTGTACACCTCCTTCTTTTTTTTTTTTTTTTTTTAAATAAAAGTTGAAAACCCTTGACGGGAGGGAGGGGTGGGGTAGCAGCAGCTGGATGGGGAGCAGGGGGGAGCTTGCATGCCATAGCAACGTGGGGTGATGAATGGCAGTGGCTGCTGTGTGGCATCCTCTCCCCCTGTGTCCAGCCAGCCAGGTGGCACCTGTGCAGCCCGTAGAGGGGAGCCACTGACCTCACAGTGCCCCCCCCCCAGCCTTATCTTGGGAGGCGGCAGCATGGGGTGGTGGGTGGCAGTGCTCTGTCCCTGCTCCCCCACGCATACCCCCTAGCCCCTTTCCAAGTACCTACAGTTGAAGACCTCTGTCTTATGTAATGGAATTTGCTGCATCCTCCCAGTTATGGAGGATGTTGCCAATGGATATTAAGCACTAGTTTGCCTGTTTAAGGCAGCCAGCCATGCTGAGTGTTTTGGGTTGTAGTGTTCGTCAGTGTGAACCAATGCAGAAATCCAGACAGCTCTTTGGACCATGGTGGCTACCTGAAGAAGCTGCCTCCCTGCAACTTCTGCTACACAGAAGTGCTTGCTGGGTTTTACAGTAGCTTTTCTCTCAACTAGGTCTGCTCATGACTGATCCAAATCCCTTTGGCACTGAAAGGGGCAATCTGCCCTGCTACAATGAGGCCCCTGAATTTGTTGATAAGATTGTTTGTATCTTTTACTGCAGGATATGAAGTAAAGAATTTCCACTTCCTTTTTTTCATTACTAAGCTTAGAGAGAGAGATTTCTCTTTTGTAATGCAGGAAAATACTTCCTAATGGTCTTTAAACTATATGTTCGCCATCTTGGCTGTCTCTAAGAATAAATATTCTGTTGAAAGCCATGGTTTCCTGTAATGGAGACACTTCAGAGATAAACATCTTGTTGAGATGGGTCATTTTCATAAACTGTTCCTCATGTAGTAAGACTTTACTTCTGTGTGGTTGCATCCTAAATCATGTAACAAGCCAGCCTTTTTGCCCAGTGGGATGGTAGATATTAGCAGCTATCTAGTTTCCATGAGCACTGTATTTCTTTAAAGCGCTCAACTTTCTTCCCTTCCTCCTTGCAAGAATGAAAATGTGGTTTCTTCATCTCTACTTTTCCCTTCTTCCAGAAAGCAGGGAAAATGAGCAACAGTACTTTAAACAAGACAGAGGCTGCTCCAGTCAGATAAGGACTTTCAGTCCCTTAAGGAGTTAGATCTCTACTTTCTACCACCAGAGATCTCCTCTTTTCTTTTGAGCTCACCTAATCTATATATGAACTGCTTATGATTTTTAAGATAAAGATATATGAGCTTCCCAGCAGGGTTTTTCAGTTCTTCTCTCGCGCTCTTAGCAACCTTTATTCTTCTGAGCCTACCATTTTTCTCATGATTAGGTAGAATATTTCTGCTACATTTACTCTGTAGAGCAATGACTTCCTCAAAGTGCTGGAATTAGCAGTAACTTCAGATCAGTGATGATTCTTTTGTTGGCAATGTTGGCTCCCTTTTTGTTTTTGGGGGGGCAGGTATTAAGTCAGAACAGTGAGTCCTGTCTTGTTTTACAACAGGTTATTCCATTGAATTAAATTTTGTAGTTGGCTGGCTTTAGCTGTATTAAGTGTGGAGCAGACGGACCACAGAAAACCATTAAGAAAAAGAAGTGTTTGCTAAGATCCAAATATTTTCCTTCTTACACTAGAGTGGGGAAGAAGAATAGGTTTATAGCAAAAATTGAGGAACTAGTCAAATAGCTTCTGGGTTTTTCTGGGACAGAACTGTAGTTTGAGCAAATATGTTCATCCAGTGTGGCTTTGTTTTTTCTCATTTGCAAAATGGGGATAGCCTGTTTTATGGAGATGATGTGAAACTTAACTCATTGCTTAGAACCTACTTTGAAATATTTGGATGGCGGGCAGTATGGAAGTAATTGCTTTGTTCAGATCAGGGTTAGTAATTTTTTTTTTAATTGACACTTTTTTTCTTCTAGAGATGTGAACAAATTTAACTGTAAAATGGGTGTTGCATGGCTTGCAGTCTTGCAGTAGTTTGTGGGACAGGCATCTTACTCATCAACTAATGTTACTTATACCTTGATGTTGTATTTCTAATGCTGACTTTTTTTTTAAACTTTAATATTAGATTTGTGACTTTGGACTGGCTCGTGTTGCAGACCCAGATCATGACCATACAGGATTCCTGACAGAATATGTAGCCACTCGTTGGTACAGAGCACCTGAAATCATGTTGAATTCTAAGGTAAGTACCATAGAAGGGCCAACAAGAAAGATAATGTTTTACGTGCTGTTGAGGAACTTCCTAAACCTGCTAGAACCAGTAAAAGGTTTGTTGTGTGTGTTTGGGGGGGGTGTTAAGTAGAGGAGATTTGATTTGGCTTATCAGTGCTGGTGGGGGAACAAGTTTGTCTGTACTGATGCTTGCAGTACTGTTTCATAAATTAAATTCTTCTGTGCAGTTCTAGGATCCTTTGCTGCTTGCACAATTTTGCCCCTACTTCTCTCCTTCTTTAATACTGATAGGTGACATGAAGATTCCTCAGTGCTTGCCTTGTTAATGGTTATTAGGGTTTTGTAATGTTTCCTATACTTGGTTTTCCATAGCCCTCGTACTAGAACTTTATCTCCATATATTATTCTGTCATTGACCAAAAACTCATTTCCATTTCTTTATTGCTGAAGTAGTTAGGTTACTTACTCACTTCTTAGTAAATGCTTAGATTTTGTATCCATATAAAATGGCCCCTATAAGGATCTTTACATGTCTAAAGTTTAGTCTCAGGAGTTGTTTTAATGGCAACAATTTTTAATGTGAAAAATTAGCAAGTATTCCTTTTCTGTATAGGTCTTCTAATTTTCTCTCTTACCAGGCTGTGTTGGATTGGGTTTGGTTTGATTGTGTTTTGTTTGTTTTAATTAATGCTTCTAGTAAAATGCCTAACTTTTACAAGCCTACTTATCACTGTACCAGATTCAAAGATATTTGCAGTAGCTAAACTGTATATTAGTTCATTTTCAGTGATCTGAAGTCTTTTTTTTTTTCTTTATATTTCAACTCTCCAGCCATTGTCTGTACCAAACTATCAGCATATCCAAAAAACTGGTGCAGGCCTTTTAAATTCACCATGTCCTGAAAATCTTGCAACTACTCTGCCATCTCTTTCCATAGCCACATTAAACAATAAAAGGGTATAGTGGATTTCCTTGCTTTCATTACTGTCGCTCAGGTCAGATTTTTTGCTCCCTGTACAAGCGTCTACTGTTTAAACAGCAGTCCACATAGTTGAACCATCCGAACAGCCCAGGCAGGAATCACAGATTCTTTCATTGCAGCCAAAGCTCTTTTAAAAAAAAATCCCATAATGTATTTGATTATATGCCTATCTTTCATAAGTAGCTGACTAATTGAAAATTTGGCCCACAGTAGACCTCGGGGGTTTTTTTCTACAAACTTGGTAAGACTTTCATGAAAGTGGGCCCTAAAATTAGACAGCTTGCAAAAAGGCATTTGCACTTGTTCATCTGAGCTAGCAGCATTTAAAATTACAGAGGGGAGAATGCCTTTGGAACAGTAAACACTGCATAAATTTTCTTCCTTCAAAGTAAAGCATCATTTTGAAAATGTGACGCTTGATGAGTGTGTCTTGATGTGTACGTAAGAGAAAACAGTTTGAATGTGCCTTGTTCTTGCTTTGAGTTATCCTAGTGCCCTATCTTTCCAGCACTTGCATAGCTGAGTATACAAGACCTGTTATTGCATTAGTTATACAATGGAATACATTTTTTAATGCAGGTAATTGTTTTATTTTGTCATTCCCCTCAGGGTTATACCAAGTCTATTGATATCTGGTCTGTAGGTTGTATTCTGGCAGAGATGCTCTCTAACAGACCCATCTTCCCAGGAAAACACTACCTTGACCAGTTGAACCATATCCTTGGTAAGCTTTTATAAAATATAATTTTGATATGCTATATTTTATTATTTTTATTGCATACCACAGAGACCCCCCCAGATAAGTCACATGCCTTGTTTTGAAAAGGCAGAATGCAGAAGAAAAGATTTTTCTTAGTCCTAGCTGAATCCTGACTATAAGAGATTTTGACTGCACGGCTGAATCCTAACTTTTTCTGCTAAACCAAAGTTACAGTTTTAATGCTCTCTTGCAGCCCCAGTTGAATTGGCAGGAGATTTTGGCTGCTCGACTTTAGACTTCACTCCAATCCTCCCTCTCTGGGGCCAGGAAAAAGAATCGGAGCTCCACCAGCCATTGCAGCTTCCCCAAGCTTCTATTCTAGTGTAGAATCAGCTTTCTGACTTAAGATAGCACCCTGACTTTGGAGGGCTAATTTTTTTGGGGGGGTGGGGGAAAGGGGAAAAGGTGCATGTGTTTATGTAAGTAAATACAGTTTATGAATGGAGGAAAAAATATTTCCATGGTTGTTTCTGTCATTGGGAACTTCGTACCCACTACACACACAGTACCAGTCTTAGCCACCCTTTTATCTTCTTTTCCTATGGTTACTGTTGTACTTTCTTCCACACTATGCTATATACCTTTCTGAACTGATCAGTGAGATGACTTCTTCCCTCTAAATAGTTCTACCATGATGTTGATAAGAAATCTTCAGCTTCGTTTGAGGCAGCTGAGGACAGCTTATGCTTATTTTTAGAACAAGGTCCTTCTAACTGCTTTGGAGCTATGAAGTTCTGAAAATAACCAGCCTATGTAAACTTCTACTTTTTTACTGATATCCTTGTCTCTTCTCTTCTTTTTGTATTGTTTGCTGCTTGTGTACATGAAATAATGAGACTTCTAGCCTAACAATAAATGTGACAGTGTCCAGAAGGCCCCAAAACTTCATACAATAAGGACACTCTACCAGATAAACAGTCCAAGGCCCTTTTTCACAATTAAGTAATTTTACCTGAGGAAGGTAGATAGGGTCTCTCATTTAGTTGTGGTACTTTATGGGATTCTGAAGGGGGTGAGATTTTTTTTTTTAATCAAATGTGGGTCATCTGAGATCTTGCAATAACTGTTGCTGGGTACTTTCTTCAAAACAGATTAGAAGTCTTTGATATTAAATAATCTGTATGTGGTTGCGGTGGAACTTGGTCAGCATCTTTTGTCAAAGCTCTTTATATCAAATTACTTTTTATAAGGCTTTCCAAAAAAAAAAAATAAATAAACTAGTTAATTTTTATTAAATTAAAAGCAGAACCCTTTAATGTCCTAAATTTTGTTTGTTTGTTTTAATACTCTGCATCTTATCTCAGGTATGCAGTGTGGCTGTTTTGTCCTTCACATTGAAATAAAGGTCTGTTTTCTCCTGTCTTTCCTTAGGCATACTCGGATCCCCTTCTCAAGAAGACTTGAATTGTATTATCAATTTAAAGGCCAGAAACTACTTGCTTTCTCTTCCGCACAAAAATAAGGTACCATGGAACAGGCTGTTTCCAAATGCTGACCCCAAAGGTACTTTTTTATTATATTGTTATGTTACCCTTGTATGAAATCTGTAAGGATAAAAATGGCACAAAGCAAGTAAGAGCGGGATTTTCAGGTTATGTATAAATAGTTCCTATTAAAGATAATGGGAACTAGGCATCCAGGTCCCCTTTAAACCAGCTTGAAAGATTTCATCTTAAAACTGTAGGTTAGTGTGACACAGTTTTTCTTAATTGTGCCTCCTTTTAAAATCATGGGTTGTAGCAGTCATTGTTTCCCTGTGTCCTGCCCCATCTAGGCAACCTCTGCCCGCCCCCATACTTACTGACAGGATGCTGCTCTCCAAGCTGCCGGGCTGCATATCTGCTGTCAGATCAGTGTCTGCTGATATGACTAGTTAATTGGCCATCGGTATCGGCCAAAAAAATCTTTATTGGTGCACTTCTAGTTCTCACAGGAAGATTTACAAGACTAACAAAAAACACCTCCTCTCTCCTCTCCAAACAACTTTCAAACTAAATGAGATCATTCGACTCTTTCTGAGTATGATCAAATAACGGGCTAACATGCAGAAGCATAATTCTATAAGAAGAATGAGCCCTGTGCATCTTATTTTAATCAGAGATGATAGTGAGACTGACTAGGCTTTTATAGAAGTGGATTAAATCACTGCTCTTTGGCCAGGCAATGTGAGAATTCCTTTCTCTGGGCTACTGGCAACTTAATGAACTGTGGTGATGTTGTTTCAGTTAACCTGTAGGAGAATGAACAGTTTGCAGTGACCTTTCATAACATCCTCAAATGTAAATCCTTAGAATAGCACTGATTAGTAGGGTTTTTTTTAATGAGTTATTTGTTACAGTAAAAAGCAAAGAGCAGTATTACATATAGCTTGCAGTGTTTAGGAAATTGTAAGTGACACAACTTTATTTGATTTTATATAAGATTTGATATCAATCAGAAAATGTTTTTTCTTCCTGATGTAAAATTATAGCAATTTCAATTTAGAACTATATAGTTAATCAAATGAGAATCTTATTCTTTCTCCTTCTTCCTGAAGTCAAGAGCAGAGAAGAAATGGAGCAAAAACAGTGATAACTCCAGCTCTTTGGCCTCTTCAGTAATAAACTAATTCCAATATGTTTTGTATTAGAGAGGAGTATCTATTGTAATAGGAGCAGCTGAAAATAACCAAGCATAAGTCAAAGGCTTCATCACACCTTATTTCCCAATTAGTATGATATGCTAAGTTTTCTCTGCAATGTTCATGGCTAATGTCCAACAGATTTTTAACTTTGCCAGTGTGGACAGATGTGTTTTTTATGTAGTTATTAGCATGCTGATTATGCTAATAGCGTACTTGAGAACTCAAGGATACAGCTAGATCTAGTTAGATGATATTTGCACAATCCAGTAAAACGAGCAGTTGAGACTAAGTCTCTATGGACCAGTGACTTGGGAGAGAAGCTTTTCAGAAAAGCAACATATGCCTATTTGAGATCTTTCTCCTCCTCAAAGCAAATCAATAGTTCATCAAAGTGCTTGGCTCCAAAAATTTTTCTGAAACACTAATGCATTAAATTTAATGTATGAGAATCTACTCTGAATATACAGAACATCATTCTTGGGCATATTCTTGCTTAAAGTTACTTTTGCATTTTCCAAAGGGTCCTAAGCATCAGTATGAACAAAAAGGAATAAATCTTTCCATGACACCATGCTTTTTTCCTGACTGGCTACTGTAGCCACAGATTTATACACAGTTTTCACTCTGAAATATTTAGTGAGAGAAACTGTAACATTGAATGCCAGCATTGTACACAAAGGAGTCCATCTAGGAAGATGCACTCACCCTAAAGAGTGAAGCAAGTGCAAGAATGTTAAAAGTAGAAATTGGGATGGAGTTACCTAGTAGTAGGGCTGAGTTATCATGATTTCAGACCTATCTGACAACTTCAAGGGTTTGGTATGTCAAATAAATGCACTAAGCCATGGCCTAATAAAAAACCGGAGAAAATGCCTCTAAAAGGTAAACTTAACAGAAGAGATTTGGTAGAAAGGATGATAATTCAGAAGTCATTGGGCTTTGAACGATACCTTGTAAAGGGTAACGGTCATCGTAGGACAGAATTAAAGATAAATTTCTTTCAGGATCATCTCAGAACAGCAAGATAGAGAGATTTACTTTAAATGAGGGAACTCGTGACAGAGGAACATCTGGTCATAGCCTCCTATCCATGTTTCCATCAGGCATATAAGTCACAAAGAGGAGGTGATGTTTTCTTTCTGGTCGGCAAGTAATCTGTGTGCAGCTAAAAAGTGTTGTTTTGTGTACCAATAAACTTGTTGATCGCATCTGTCACAGAAACAACCAGCTTGCTATTCTGACCTATTTTTTTTTAAGCATAGCTATTTGATTCTAAAAGCAATAATGGAAACACCAGAATATTAGCAGTTAATTGTTGTTCCTTATAACCTAGAGGACAAGGTAGGAATCAAACATTGTAGCATGCTTCTGGATATGGCTTGGATTCGGTATAGATTTGTCAAACACAAATTGCCAAGCCCTCCAGGTCTCAGTATTACAGTTTATTTGGAACAATGTTAGCAGTCTGAAATCTGTTACCTCGCTCTTCAGCTCTGAACACAGTAATTAGATGCTGCAGGAAAGAGCCTTTTCTGAAGCACCTCTGTCAAGCTAAATAACTAAAATGGCCATTGTGCAGTAGCTAATCGAAACTGCTTTCCCCATAGAACTTGAGCCTTGTGTTACACAATCTGATGCATCTCCTATTCTAACTCAGAAGGTGTTATATAGTCCTTTTAATGTTTGCCGACAAGGTATCACAGTTGAATATTCTTAACAGGGGTTTAGTACTTCTGCATTTTCACGAGCACACTTAGTACTGTGGGGTACTGTGGAAATTGCTGAAGTGTGAAAGGGGTTTTTTTGTTTGTTTTTAACTTCAGTATTCTAGTATGAATCTTGGACTGGAAGAGGCTGTCTAGGCTATTGAGTACAGGAGTGGGCAGGTGGTGAGGGCAGTGGGCACCAGGGGGTAGTAGGGAACACAGGTGGGGGGAAGGAGGGTGGTGAGGCCACGTGCCTCCCCCCCCTTGTTTGCTTTTGCTGCTGCAGCAATGGTAGTGTTGGGGGAAGGGAGAGAATGAATATAAGATGACCCTCCAGTGATTAGATTCTACGTGGAAAAATAACTAATATAAAGTTTTCCATGTATAAAATCTAATTATTGAGGGTTTGTCTTAAATCAAAGTAATGTTAGAGTCAGGTAAATGTGGTATGTTTACCAACCAGAATGCTTAACTTAGCAGACTGTTTTGTAAAATTCCTGAAAAGGATTTGACTCCTTACTGGTTTTAGGTAAAGGATTGTTGAACAATTATGAGAAGAAAATTTACATGGACATTTTGCATTGAAAATAAATAATTAGACTGTTTTGGCTTGTCCAGAATCACAACTCAGAACCAGGGTTCTGAGTGGTTACCTGAAAAGCATTCTGGGCTTTTACCAGTGATCTACAGAAACTTATTAACCACGTACTTATGTCTGTCTCAAATACAGTAGTGAAAAGGTTCTAAGGTTACTGCTGGAATTTAGTTTTAACAACTTTTTAAAGCTTGTGTAGGGAGAGGATCCACTTGTAGTCAACTGTTGCTCCTCTGGATCTGGGGTTTTCAACCTTTTTTTAATAAGTGTACCCCTGGCAGCCGAGGGGGGAAGGAGTTGTGGTGGGTGGCTGGACATGCAGGGGACATGTGGCCAAATGCAGAGCGGCGGCGGGGAGTGGTGGACAGTGGTGGCAAGTGCCACCATGTGCAAGCCTGACCGGCCAGGTGGTGCCTGTGCAGCCTGCAGAGGGGCGCCACTGCCCTTGCCCCGCCCTGGTCCTGCTCCCGGGAGGCAGCAGTGCAGGATGGTGGGTGGCAACACTCTGTCCCCACCTGCCTGTGCATACCCCCTAGGGCCTTCCCGCATACCCCGGCTGACAACCCCTGCTCTGGATCATGGTGTATACGTGCAGTTTAGTCAGATGCCTGACAAATTTGTAGCTGACTAGCCCAATTTGAGAGCTACACAGTTTGTTACAAGTTTCGCAGATCCATATATTGCCTGAGTTGGAGTCGAAGTTTACAGCATGCTGCTTCCTTCTTTTTCATTCCGCTTCCATCCTCAGGATCAAAGCTGCTTCACGTTAAGCTGCACCCAGTACCATATGTTCCCACTAGATCGGATAGGATTCTGTGTGCTCCTCCCAGCTTTCTCGGTTGATGTTGAATGATTTCATATCACTTTTCCATAGATTGGGTTACCCTGCTTTCTAGAGTTACCTTGAATCTTGCTATACAAAATTTTCTTGGGGATACGGTCTCCTCCCGTTCTCCTGACATGTATGATCCATTGCAACCTCCTCTTCGTGATAGTATAGTGGTTTCTAAGTGTGTCAGCCCTGCATGCTCCAGTAGCTCTGTGTTTTGGTATTCTGTCTTGTGTCTTTATTTTCAGGATCTTATGCAGGCATTTCATGTGGAAGCTGTTCAGTCTCTTGATGTGCCTAGCATATGTAGTCCATGTTTATGAACCATAAAGCAGGGATAATAACACCTAAGTCTTGTAGATTTGCATCTTCACCTTAGCTCAGGGGTTTTCAACCTTTCTGGGTCTGTGTACCCCCAGTGGCCAGTCAAGAAAGGAGGAGTCTGCCGGCGTTTGATCGGTGAGTGTGCTGGTGGCACAGCGGCAGTGGAAGTGGTGGCAGCAGCGCCTGCTGAGGCCATCCCAAGTACCTCCAGGGGTACGTGTACCCCTTGTTGAAAAAGCCTGCCTTAGCTGATAGCTTGCTGTTATTCCATGCACATTTCTGCAATAACCTGAAATTCTTAGCCGCTTTTCTGATTTTGTTCAGTCTGGAGGTTCAGATTCCTGCTGATTTGTAGACCCCAAGTAGCAAAGCTGTCAACGACACCAAGAGGTTTATCCTCCGAAGTCACATCAAGTATTGGTTCTTTCACCCCTTGGTATGTGATCACAATCTTAAGGCTAGTTGCCACCCCAAAGCTCTTGCATGACTCACAAAATGTGTCCAAGACATTTTGCAGAGAATATTCACTGAGACTAACCAAGACCACGTCATCCACAAACAGGAAGTCTCTTGGTACCATTTCTTTCACCTTGGTTTTTTCTCTCTAAACCTTGCGATGTTAAACAAGCCTCCATCTAGTCTGGTTAGAAGATAAATGCCATCATTGTTCTCCTTGAGTGTGTGAAGCAGCAGGAATAAAAGTAGATATTAAAAAGCACAGGGGCTAAGATGAACCCGTTTCATCCAGTTGCTGACATCAGAGGCATCTGATTCTTCGCTTTCATACACTACAGTTGCCTTCATACCTTGACAACCCAGCTTCTTCAGAACAGTAAGACAGCCCTGTCTGTTGACTATATTGAAGGTATTTGTTTTTTCTCTACACTTCTCTTGCAGTTCCAGGATAAATTCTTTCACCTAGTCCTAGAGATTGCAGCCTAGGAAGTGTGATGCAAGTGACAACTTTTCTGACCATGTTCAACAGGGAGATAACTTTATAGTTGTCACAGTCGCTTCTGTCTTTTTTTTCTGTATAATTGTGCAAACCAACCATCTTTGAAATCTTCTGGTACCACTTCCTCTTTCAAGAGAGCGGTATAACTTCATGAAGCTTTCAGAGTGATTGCCGTCAGTGCATTTTGTAGATTTCAGCAGGCAAGCAGCTGTTGCCAGATGCCTTTTCCCCAGGAATTGATTTATTGGCTCTTTAGAAATCTTCTAATGTAGGCTTGTTGTTCAAATCTGTCATAACTTCTAACTGTGGTAATCCTTTGAGTTCTTCGCGTTTGATTTCAATCGCGCTGGAGTATAGAATTTCATAGCGTTCAGTCCAGTGCTGGAGTCTGTTTATCAGTAATGACACTTCTGTTTAACTCTTTCAGCAAAACTGTTTTCTTTTTGACTGGACCAATTGCTCATTTGATGCCTTCATACATTCCACAGCTATTGCCTGCATCACTAAAGGATCCGCTAACATGTTCAGAATTACTAGACTTCCTGTGTCACGGTAGACCCTTATAGTTCAGATTCAGTTTTTATCCCTTTGCATATCTCCATTATTGTTGTCCTCTAACCACATTTTTTTTACTTTCCTTGAAGTCCCAGAATACCTAAATTTTGTGGAGTGTAATAGGACCCTTGTTCTATCCTGGTAGGAAACATGTGGGTGGGAAATACAAACAATTCTGTATTAAATATAACTGATAGCTTTATAAACAAATACCTTCTTTTAGTACTGGTTTATGATGCTAGACATCAGTAGTTCTCAATCTTTTTTGTACCAGGGCCCATTTGTAAACATTGGCCAGTCCAGACCATTTATTTGTGATTCTTTCATATATTCTTGTGACCCACTTTTGGATTGTGACCCATGTGTTGAGAAACACTGCGCTAGATAACACAAACCTTCCTGCTGTTATGAAGAGGAGGTTAACGATCAGAAAATAGGAATTTTGAGAAGACAGTGAGGGTAATAACATAAAAATAGAAAAGCTTTGCTAAATTGGTTCTTCAGCTCTTCCTTCTCCTATGCATTATCTGCAAAGATTTAAGAATAACACTTATCAAAACTAATATTTATAGCAAAGGACAGTTATTGTTTGTATTGTACCAATTATTTTTACCTTTAATGTGATGAAACATGAACTATATATTCACTTTTTTAACAACTTTCTTTTCTTAGCACTTGATTTGCTGGATAGAATGTTAACCTTTAATCCTCATAAGAGGATTGAAGTGGAGCAAGCTTTGGCCCATCCCTACCTGGAACAGTATTACGATCCAAGTGATGAGGTAAAGGATTTTTTTTAAATGTAAATATTGCAGAGGATAGTATAAAATCCTAAAGTAAAAGGAAGTCTTCTAAGGATATGTTTGTATAATTCTTTCTGAACTGGAAAACCTGATCTATAAATTGATGAATTTACCCTGCTAATTGTTTAAAACCTCTGTATCAGTGTGTGTATGTGGTGCATGTATATGTTTGTGTGTGCATATATGTAATGTTTGTGTGTACATATGTACTATATAGTACATACGACACTGTTTTAAAGAACCTGAGCAGATATAAATATCTCAGGTTCTTTAAAACTGTTCCTTCTAGGCATCTAAGTATGGGAGAGGGAGTTTAACTTTGGGAGTGCAAGTTTGACATGTTTAAAAGTCCTTAAATAATATGTTTCACTAGTAAAGCATCAGATAGTAAAGGACTAACTAGACTGGGTAGCCAAAACTATTGTAATAAACCAAGTTATTCCTCAACGAAACATTTGTATTATGCAGATGTTTGAATACAACTGTAGGAACAGTGGGCTTGAATAGACAGCTGAATACTCTGACTTTATGTTTTAATAAGATGCATGCAAGTTGAAGTTAAATTTTCCTCTTCTAGAAAGTGTCTCTACTTTCTATCTAAACAGCAATTTTTAAAAGCAGCAAAAGGATTGTTAAACTTTTTTATAATTACTTTATTAGTCTTTTATGACTGCATTACTGGATAGTCATAAGGGTGCCATGCTTAGTATATTTTTATATCTTGCTGTTTATGGAAGCAAAGCTTGCTAGTAGTTGCTGGAATGTGGTATTGCTAATTTTTTATTATGAAAGATCTACAGTAAAAGCTCTGTTATCCAGCATCCCCTGGGAATGGGGGATGCCGGTTAATCAAATGTGCACTGTCTGGTGCACTGCCCGGTGTCAGTGTGCCAGGGAATGGGAGGGGAAGGCCACACAAGCTGCTTTGCCCTGGGCCGTGGGCCGAAAGTGGCAAAGAAAAACTCAGCTTGCAATGACAAGACAAGAAGTCTGCCAGAAGTGGTACTTCCAGTTTCGCTTTTGCTGCATCACTCGGATCCTGGTTAATAGTTTTCCAGCTAATAAAGTGTCCGTTAACTTTTACTGCACCTTTTACTGTATTTAACTTCTCTTCTGAGTTTGAAATGTACATTTGACAATGCTCAAAAAGTTTGAATAAGTTTACTTAACTCTTTACAAATCTTGTTTTGTTTAAATGATCAGTTTTCAATTACTTTTGTTCTATATATTTTTTTTAGCTGTGCTTATAACGTTCTGTAGGTACATTACAAAAACATTGGACATACAGATATGGGGAAAGCCTTTTTTTAAGGCTTAATTTTACTCTGAGCTCCATCCTGTAAGGTGCCTGGCAGATGTTGCATTTATTGCATGATTAAAACAGGGCTCCTGTTAAGATTTAGAATTGGAAAATTAAAGTTGGAAGGGATCTCGGGAGACTATTTAGTTCAACCCCCTGCTCTAACTATATCATCCGAGCCAAGGCTTTGTCTAGCCAGGTCTTAAAAACATCCAGGGATGAAGAGTCCACAGCTCTTCTTGGATACCTGTTTCAGTGCTTTATTACCCTCCTTTAGAGAGGTTAGATTTTGGGGGGAAAAAACTAACTTCCCTTGGTGCAACTTGAGACCATTTCTCCTTGTTCTGTCATCTGCCACCACTGAGAACAGTGCCTTTAATCTCAGTCTTGGCATAAGACTATTCTGGTAACATTTTGATCAGACTTGTACAGCTTTGTTGAAGTAGGGGAAAATAGAAGTCAAACTTAAGATTATAATGGACAGTTACCTTCATTTATAACAACGTAGATAAGTGTTTTGCTGCAACATTTTTTAAGGTATTTGCTTTATGAGCCTTGACTCTACCTGAACATTTTAACATGATCTAAGTTGGAGAAGCTATACAAAGAGCTGTTTTAAAATTTGCCAGAAAAGATTATGATCTCGAAAAAGGATAAAGGGACCACCCATTGTGCTGGCCACTTCAGACTTTGTCCTTTTGTCAGACAACACGCATAACTATCAGTCAGGTTCTCATTCACAAAATAGGTAAAGTCTAGAAAAATATGACTTAACATTTAAAAATTACTAACTTCTTCTTCATCTTATTAAGCCTGTAGCTGAAGCACCCTTCAAGTTTGACATGGAGTTGGATGACTTGCCGAAAGAGAAGCTGAAAGAACTGATTTTTGAGGAAACTGCTAGATTCCAGCCAGGATATCGATCTTAAATTGTGCATAGGTACATAAAGCCATGATCATAATGAATCGTGTTCCTTTTTTTTAAAATGAGTGTTAAAAAAAAAAACAAAAAACTTTAACATAGCTTTCATTTATGCAAAAATGTAGTCTGTCATTTTATTTAGTATAGTTAAGTAATCCTTTTAAACGTAGATGATGCTTTCTGAGTGCTGAATTGACCTTGCTCATAATTTCGTTAGAGAAATGGATTTAACTTTTCTCTGTAGTGTTTAAATTGCCCATAAAAATCCAAGCAGTTCTTATGTGCTTTTTTATTTAATTTGCAGATTACATCTAAAAAGTGACAGTAAGATTTAATAAGTACTTGCCAAAAGCTGTACAAACAGCTTGGTATCAGAATATCTCTTAAATTGACTGTGAAATCACATGAATTTATTAGAAAGCCCTTTTTTATTTTAAAATAAATCAGATTGCAAGAGAAGAACACAGTTAAGAGAGAAATCCGTCAGTGTAAAACAAATGTTTCTAATAGAAGCCATTTAAGTTATTTTGAATGTTTCCAAAATAGGTACTTGAGTGCCTAATCAGTATATGCATCAAAATGTTTTCATATTTTAGTTTTGTTTTAATGACTTTTACACCATCTTCATTTAGAGTAATGAGTTTCAAATACTCCTGTACTAATATTCATCTGGAAAAAAAAACAACCCATAAAACTGAAACTTGCAGAAATAATCTAAAATCATGCGAAACTTCTTTAAATGTTTTGTCCACACCTGTCTCCATATTTCATAACTTGCACATAATCCTTCTTATCTACAATAATCTTCCGTTGATGTAGTTCATACCATTTTTTAGGTACTCTGACATTTGGAAATATCAGCAAGTTTCCTCAGAGTTATTCAAATAGCATTTCATACTAATAGTTTAAAAGCAGAGAAGGGGCAGTTAGTCATGTTAGACTGAAGTCAGGGTAAAGATTCATCTTATAGACTAACTGAATTGGAGATGCATAAGCTTTTGTGAGCAAGAGATGTATAAGCTCAGCTCTTGTTCATGGAAGCTTATACATCTCTGACTCAGTTAGTTGACTGGGTGCATCTCTATCCTTCCTTTTGCCTGAAAGCTTAAAACAGGGGTCTGCAACATGTTGGCCAGAGCCTGGATCCTAGCCTACAGAGAAATAGCTTCAGCAGTAGGGGGCTTTGGCTGCAGGCATTCTTACCATATTGTCATATGAATGCACCTCTGACTCTGGGGGATATAATTCCAACTCACAGGCAAAAAAGGGTTACTAGTCCTTGGTTTAAAGCAGGCTTGTCCAACATACGGCCCACAGGCCACCATGCAGCCCTCTAAGCCATTTTCTGAGGCCCAAGGTGCTGTGATGGGAAATGAAAGTTAACCCTGTACTTTCGTTTCGGGGGGGGGGGG